CATTAAAGTTAGTCATTGTGGGCTTGCATTAAAGCACTAACTCTGTCTAATCCTGTTCGATCTCTGACACCACATAGGGTTCCCAGGTCCCCTTCAAGAATGATCCCTGATGAGGTAGGGTGGAGGGGATGGGGTGAGGGTGGTGGGAGGGATGCTGGGACCAATGGTGGTGGGAAATGGGCACTGGTGGAGGGAGGGTACTCGATCATTGTATGACTGAAACACAAGCACGAAAGTTGGTAAGCCTGTAACTGTACCTCATGGTGATTCACTAATTTAAAAAATGATCCCTGAGCAGATAGCCAGGAATAAGTCCAGAGCACCAGGGAAAAAAACTAGATTCAAGTTTGCCTCTTTGGCAACTTAATTTGTAGGCTTTGTTTACCTATATTAAAGCGAGGCTTCTTGAGAGGGGCCTCCCAAGCTTTGTGCATTCAAAGATAGTTCAGTGAGTATGGTGCTTGCTGTGTACGCTGATGATCCGGGTTTGACCCCTAACATCCCATATGGTCTCCCAAAAACCCGCCAGGTGTTAAGTCCTAAGTGCAGAGCCAGGAGTAAGCCCAGAGAACTGTCAGGTGTGGCCCCAAAACAACAACAGCAGCAACAACAAAAAACCCCAACTCAATTAGAGGTTAAATATGAGGACCCTAGTATGCCATGTTGCTCAGGGACTGTAGTGTCAGGGATGAACTGGGTCACTCCAACAGTGCTGGGGGTGGGGGAGGCTCTCACCCAGCAGTGCTGAGGAACTATGTAGTGTCAGATATTGAACCAGGGGCAACTTTCTGAAAGGCATACCCTAACCAAGGCATACCCTAACCTCACTACTGCTCCTGGCCTCTAGAGGAGGGTATCTTAAACTTTGTCCACTTGCAACCCCTTTTCACCAAATTTTTTTTATGTGAGCCCAGGTAGAAAGGTATATAAAATAGGTAACAAGTTAAAATAGGCATATAAATCAAACAGTTATTAATAGTAAATCATAAAGATATTTCTTTCAAGACTTGAAAAAATGTTAAATCATCCTTAAAGGGGTGGAGAAACCATTTAAAATGCTAAGTTTTAGGGGGCAGGAGCAGTAGTGCAGTAGGTATGGTGCTTGTCATCCATGTAGCCAACAAGTGTTTGATCCCTGGCTTCCTATATTGTCCTCAAGCACCACCAGAAATAGTTTCTGAGTGTAGAGCCAGCAGTAACCTCTGAGCATTGCTGGATGTGCTCCTCAAACAAAAAAAAAATAAAATAAAAATAAGATGCTAAGTTTTAAAAGAACATACTAACATCTACTTTATGGGATTATTTTTGTGAAAGCAGTGTTTCTGAGATTAACAAAAATATAGTAATTTAGGAACCAGGGAGATAACTCAATGGGTTGGAGCACATGCTTTGCATGCAGGATGCCAATGTTCCGTTTCCTAAACCCCACCAGGAAGTGACCTCCAAGTACTGAGCTGGGAGGACCGAGCTGGGAGTAGCTCCAAGAACCAAGCTGGGAGTAGCCTCTGAGCACTGCTGAATGTGGCTCAAGACTGGAAAAAAATACAGTGACTTAATAATAGGAGGCTTTGGATAGGCCTTTTGCTGCCAATATGATTATTATAACTCTGTAGGTTAGTAAGGACTCGCAAGGGAGGAAACTCATTTTTCAAATATGAACAAAGTAGTTAATGGATCTGTCAGGTCACTCTTTTGGCCTTTGTGCTTTTGGTAACACCAGAAATTTTTCTCTTGTAGAAGTCTTCTCTCTCCAGACCCTTCCTCTCAGGAATACTGCTTTTTTAAAATTCTATTGAATCACCGTGAGATAGTTATAAGCTTTCATGTTTGGGTTACAATCACACAATGACCAAACACCTGTCCCTCCACCAGTGCACATTCCCCACCACCAATATCCCTGGTATACCTCCCTTTTTCCCTCCCTCCTTCTGCCTCCATGGCAGACATGATTCCCCATGATCTCTCTCTACTTTTGGGCATTATGGTTTGCAATACAGACCCTGAGAGGTTATCATGTTTGGTCCTTTATCTACTTTCTACACACATCTCCCATCCCGACTGATTCCTCCAGCCATCTTTTTCTTGGTGATCCCTTCTCTATTCCAGCTGCCTTCTCCCCTTTGCTCATGAGGCAGCCTTGTCCACCTATGGAGCAATCTATCTGTCCCGTGGAATATTGCTTCTTTTACTCTAACTTGCAGCAGTTTATTATAATGCTATGAGACTTATGCTTTCTCTTCTTCCCTCTAAAGAAGCAATCAGGATTTAAAATGACCAGGTGACTAAATACCTCGTACTTCTGCACTTTTGCCTCACTTGTTCCAATTTCGGGGAAATATACATCTCGGAGTCTTCAGTATTTTATTTTCACCATCAGAAAATGACCGACAATGGCAAGGTTCCTGCTCACAGTTGCCACCTACAGGAGGAATCAGCCTTTACATAGGAGTGTGCATTACTCAGCAGTTTCTGAGAGCAGCAGTATTTCCCAATGTTTCTAAAATCCCAAAGTAAACTTATTTGAATACAAGTCCTCACAAACTATCTATTACCCAATACCTTATTGCAAAATCAGTGGTGGGAACATTTGGAGGAGCTTTGTTTTCAACTCTCCACGACAGACTGCTGTGCGGCAATGTTCTGATGGGTAATCTGCCTGAGACAGAGGTTCACAGTTAAAAGCCATACAATGATAGAGGGAAGTATTCAATCTGGATGAGAACTGGGTGCTAAAAGGAGGGAAAGTGATATCCATGCTAAGCTTTCAGCAACTACAGTGCCTAAAAGGAAAAAAAGAAAAAATGTTTGCCATAGAGGCAGGCTAGGGGACATGAGGGAAACTGGAAACATTGGTGGAGGGAAAGGGACACGGGGAAAGGGCTATGTGCTTGATCCTGTATGCCTGAAACTAAATCCTGAATAACTTTGTAATTCATGGTGATTCAGTAACTTTCAAAGCATTTTTTAAAAAGCAATGCCAGGGCTAAACAAAAAAAGAAAAAAAGGAAATATTGAAGTTTTGGGAGAAACAACATGCTTGTCCTTATGGGCCCATAATGTTGGCTTTTTGCATCTGTTTAATAACAATTTCAGATATTGATATGGTCAAGTCACATTCCTGTTGCCATGCCTATAGCTGATTTATGATGAAATTCTATAGTGTCTTTATACATATTTGGTTAGACATTCCCTCCCCTGAGGATTTACATTTTCCAATGATTAATTTTTAAAAGCAATGATCATCGTCCTTCACGCCCTACCGAGGTCACGAGTTGCACCCCACAAGCGGCTCTCCGGCACGACCATGGCTCCAGAGCCACAGAAACCAATCTCATAACTATCTGGCTCTTGGAAGAAATTCCTCCAGACTTAATAAGTAAAATATCAGAAATCCAAAATCGTGCTGCTGCTATTGTGGTCGTGCGACATCATTTGGTTCTCATAACCAGCTATAGAAAACAAATTATTTCACAATGCCTTTTCAGCAGTTCTGATTGTTGGGTGGAAACTCTAAACAATAATGTTGCATCTTTTGTCGAAATAATGAATGTAATCAAAGTATATAGAAAGTAGAATTCATCTGCCTCACAGGCATTGGGAAGGGTGGGAGGGGGTATATTGGGGTTCTTGGTGGTGAAAAATGAGTACTGGTGAAGGAAAGGTGTTTGATGATTGTATGACCGAGACTTAAACCTGAAAGCTTTGTAACTTTTCCCACATTGATTCAATAAATAAATATTTTAAAAAAAGAGCAATGCTCTTCCCCAGAGTACTTCTATTCTACTAGGATGAAAAAGAACATTGTGATAAAAATCTCTGCACAGTCCTTAATTTAAAATAAAAATTCTATTTCCTCAAAGTATATTACTATGCCAATGGATAAGAATGCGTGGCTCATTAGATATTGTAAAGTTGATCTCCTGGAAGATCATTTAGCTAGCCATCAGCATTGTTTACACGTGGGCAGAGCTGCTCATTTTGGACCATTATCATTTCTTTTTTCAAAATTTCTGCTACTTAATTAGTATATAGTGCCAACAAAATAACTTTCATTTGTATTTACTGGAATACAGGTCAAAGCCTGAGCCAACCTTCCCTCTGATATTCAACTACCTTGTCCATGTCTCCACAGTGATATTTCAAGCACATCCCAATATTACAAGCTGGAATCTTTGGAAGAGAAACATGATAGACCCGCCAGTCACTAAATCCCCAAACTCTCAGGGCTAGACAGATAGCTCAACAAGCTGGAGAGCAAGTTTTGCATGCAGGACATCCATCTTTGATCCCCAGCATTGTGTAGTCCCCTGAGCACCAAAAGCCTCCCAGAAGCCCTAGCTATCGCCCCCAAACCCAAATAAATGAATTCCTAAACTTTTCATTTTTACCTCCAAACCTGTCTTCCTCCTCCGACTTGTTCTTTTTTTCTGCTTTTTTTTTTTTGGAGTCACATCTGGCGATGCTCAGGCGTCACTCCTGGCTCTGAACTCAGGAATTACTCCTGGCGGTGCTCGGGGGACTATATGGTATGCTGAGAATTGAACCTGGGTCAGCCACGTGCAAGGCAAATGCCCTATCCACTGTGCTATCGCTCTAGCCCCGCTGACTTGCTCTTTGATCCCATTCAGTGATCCCATTTTCCTAAAAAGGGTCACCCTCCACCCAGATGTTCAGGTTCAAATAATCTTCCTTCTTTTCTGAGAGTCTTTCAGCAAGTTCTTTTGACTTCACGTTTTTGTTCCATCCTGAATCTCTCTCCAGCTGCACCTGCACAGCAGATGATTCTCTGAGCACCACCAGGAGTGATTTCTGAGTGCAGAGCCAGGAGTAACCCCTGAACATCTCCAGGTGTGGTTCAAACACAAAAAAAAGAAAAAAAGAAGTAAAAGGAAAAGACCCATAAAACGGAGTGAAATGATAATGTAGACTTGTTTGTTGTTTCAGGCACATGAGCTATTCATATTAAATCAGTGAATTTTGGGACCAATTGAGGTACCTACCGAGCAAAATCTTCTGAGGGCTACTGCAATGAGTCACTCTCAATGAACTGAGTCTGGGAAGAGACAGAAATGAAGACAATTACTTGGATTCTGAGGCAGAAAATGGTGCCTGCCATTGGAAGCCTTGGTTACTTTGGGTAGCAGAGGAGTGATCCAGTTTTCCACACTCACTGTGAGTCAGTGGTAGAATTTCTGAGAATCTGCTTCAGCGCTTTGCGAGTGTGCCAGAGTATCAGGACAGGTCCAGGAACAGTTGATTGTTTTGTCACAATTAAGAGGGTTGGAAGAGGACATCACTGCCATGGGGGTGGGAGTGGGTATTGTCATACACTGCACTTGAATGGATAGATCTGCACAATGAGGAACTCTGCACCCCAAATGCCAATACTGAAATGGCTGATTCTACCATCTAATATCTATGAAATTCTTCCAGGGGAATACAGATTATCACTTTTTCTTTTAGTTTTTGGGCCATACCCATAGGTATTCAGGGCTTACTTTGTTCTCAGAGATCACTCCTGGTTTGGGCTCAGGGGATATCAGGTGTGGGTAATCAAACTAGAGTTGGAGGCAAGAAAGGCAAGTACCTTAACCCCTGTACTATTGAAATTATTTTTGCTTTTTGGGTCACACCCAGCGATGCACAGGGGCTACTCCTGGCTCATGCACTCAGGAATTACTACTGGCAGTGCTTGGGGGACCATATGGGATGCTGGGAATCGAACCTGGGTTGGCCGTGTGCGAGGCAAATGCCGTACCTGCTATGCTGTTGCTCCAGCCCCCAGGTTAGCATTTTTAGCCTTTTATTATTTTTTTTCTTTTTGGGTCACACCCGGCGATGCACAGGGGTTACTCCTGGCTCATGCACTCAGGAATTATGGAATTACTCCTGGCGGTGCTTGGGGTCCATATGGGATGCTGGGAATTGAACCCGGGTTGGCCACGTGCAAGGCATACACCTTACGAGCTGTGCTATCACTCCAGCCCCTATTATTGTTTTTTTTGGGGGGGAGGTCAAGACTCAGTGGTGCTTGGAGACTAATCCTGGAACTGCTCAGGGACCATGCAATGTCAGGACCAAATTCAGAACCTCTGCATGCTTTGCATGTGCTCATCCAATTTTGCTAGCTCTCTCTGGGCCCAAGATCAATAGTTTAATCTGCTACTTTTTAGGTAGTTATTTCTAATCTCTTTGTGTGTGTACATATGTGGGTTGGCCCCATCAGGGTTATCTCCAGGAGCATCAAGGTTATATCCAGCTGTACTCTAGAGGCCATAGGACATGAGGTCCAACCTGGAGCCCTAGAAGAAGGGAGAGAGAGGTAGGGAGAGAAAGAGAGAAGGAAAGTGCCTGACATAGAGCCATAGAGGCAGGTTGGGGAGGGGGATGGTCCCCTGAGCACCACAAGGAGTAATTCCTGAGGGCAGAGCCATGAATAACTGCTGAGCATCCTCAGGTGTGACTCCCAAACCACAAACAAACAAAAATATTCCCTTTACAAAGACTTGGGTTCCCATCTCATGAATGCTTCCTTTCAATTAAATTTTATTTCATGCTGTATTTTATCACTCAAAATACTCATTTCCTCCAAGTATGTAACATTATTTTTAAAACATGCTGTAACGTTATTTTAAAAAATGCTTTGGTTTTGGGGCCACACCTGGTGGTGCTCAGGGTTTATTCCTAGCTATGCTCTCAGAAATTACTTCTGGTGGGCCAGAGACTATATTAGGTGCCAGTTATTGAACCTGGCTTGGCCACACACAAGGCAAATGCCCTACCCACTATACTATTCCTCCGGCCCCGTTATGTAACATTATTAACTGGGTAACACCACAATATTCCACCAGTGTGTGATCCAGCCCTTTGCTCTATATCTTCAGAACTTCCCCCTATATATTTTTTAAAATTCATCCATAAATCCTCCCTAATACACAGTCTCATAAAGTCAATGGAGCTTATCACTCTCTACACACATGCACCTATGTATGTGTACACACATCACATACACAAATACATGCAAATTGTTTCATTTATGTGGAAAACCCCAATTTACTGTTTGCAAAGGTTCTTATGTCAGTGTTGTCAATAGTCACGGTCACGGTCACAGTCACGGTCCTCCCATTGTTCATCGATTTTCTCGAGCAGGCCCAGTAACGTCTCCATCGTGAGACTTGTTGTTACTGTGTTTGGCAATAGTATCACTATGCATTTCAATATTATTGTATAGTTTGTTTAAAATTATTTGCTACTTTGTTGTGTTGTAGCTCTTGCTCTTTATACTATAGAAACTTTCTTGTCTTTAGCATTTTAGTTGGTAATATACTTGGAAAATAATTTAGCAGGCACAATGAGGAAAGGTTAGATTTTTAAATTTTGTCATGTCAATTGCCATTTTCCCCAGCAATTTTCCTGAATAGGATATTTCATGACTATTATTCTCAAATGATATATTTGCCATAAACAAAGTACCTAAGCCCAGAGAGATAATACAGAGGGTAGGTTCTTGCCTTGCATGTGACTGATCTGGGTTTGATCCCTAGCATCACATTGGGTCTCCTGAGCCCTGCTAGTAGTGAACCCTGCGCACAAAGCTAGGAGTAATCCCTGAGCAAACCTCGGTTGGAGGAAAAAAATTATTTTGAAGCACCTAAATATAAAAATGAAACAGCAACCTGATGCTGAAAAATCTTGGCAAATGGGGTTCTCTCTTAGCAATGATGGGAAAGTATTCTGGGAAGGTAAACACATTGACAATCTTAGCAGTAGAATTACCTAGATGTTTAAAACAAGTCTCTCCCAAACAAAGGAAAAGCAATATTGAACAATGACAAACCCTTGGCCCTGGATTCCAAAACTAATTACCAAAAGGTAGGGGCAAAGGTGTGCGGGAATGAAAATGGGATCAGATGTGACACAGGAATAGAGGCGGGAGGTCATAGGCATGTCAATGAGGATGGGTGCACTGATTTTGTACACATCAACATCATAAACTTTAACACTATTGTAACCCTATCACTTAAACTAAAGCAAAAAGTATCTTAATTTTATTTCAAGTACCTAAAATCTGTTATTTAATATTACTTATGATTAAATTTTATTTGATATGATTTAATGCACACAGAAAAATGTAGAAAATGGGCTGGAGCAATAGCATAGCTGGTAGGGAGTTTGCCTTGCACCCAGCCAACCCGGGTTTGATTCCCAGCATCCCATAGGGTCTCCGGGCACTGCCAGGAGTAATTTTTTAAAAAAATTTTATTAGTGAAACACCATAAGGTACAGTTGTAGACTTACAAATTTTTGTGCTTGGGTTTCAGTTATATAATGATTGATGTCCATCCCTCCACCAATTCCCATTCTCCACCACCAATGATCCCAGTATCCCTCCCCCCTACCCCCTCCCATCCCACCCAGCCTCTGTGGCAGGGCATTTTCTTTCGTTCTCTCTCTCCTTTTGGGTGCTGTGGTTTGCGAAAGAGGCATTGAGTGGCAATCATGTTCAGTCTATAGTCTACTTTCAGCATGCATCTCCCATCCTGGGAGGATCCTCCCAACACCCTTTATTTGGGGCTCCCTTCTCTATCTGAGCTGCCTTTTCCCCCAGCATGTGTGGCTGGCCTCCAAGCCATGGAGTAAACCTCCTGGTACTTATCTGGGTTATTCTTGGGTGTTAGTCTCCTATTTTGTTACTTTATGTTCCCCAGATGAGTGTAATCTTTCTATGTCTGTCCCTCTCCTTCTGACTCATTTCACTTAGCATGATACTTTCCATGTAGTACCACTTGTATGTAAATTCCATGACTTCATCTTTTCTAACAGCTACATAGTAGCAGGAGTAATTTCTGAGTGCAAAGCCAGGAGTAACTCCTGGGCATCGCCCGGTGTGACCCAAAAAGAAAAAAAAAGTAGAAAATAGGTCTGTCTCTCATCACCACTACTACCATAGTCACCATCATACCCCCAGATTTCTGCACCACATCTTTCATTCTAATGCTGTAAATAGTACATGAAAGCAATGGCTTTTCAACATGTAAAGAGCAAAGGCTCTTCCACATGAATCATGCCCAGAAGACAGACCAGTGGCCAGACTGAAGGTACAATCTTTGGTTAAATGTAAGTGAAAAGTCAGTGACTAATCACAGGAGTCAAGATAACATCAGCCAGCTCCAGAACCATGTCACCCCTCTTCAATCAGCCCCACCGCCATCTGACAAATGTCAAGATAGCATCAGCCACCTCCCAGACCCGTGTCACCCCTCTTCAATCAGCCACACCACCATCTGACAAGTGTGACTTCTCCCTGCTCCTTGGAGCCCCAGTTCTTGCAAGCCTCTTGTACTTGTCTTTTTTAAAATGATGTGCACAGTATGAGTAAGAGCGGAAAGTGCCTGCAAGGCTTTAAAAAGTTATTATTGTTGTTTTTATGGGCCACACACAGTGGTGCTGGGAGTTACTACTGGCAAACTCGGGGGACAAAAGGGGATGCTGGGGATCAAACCTGGGTCAGGTGCCAACAAGGCTAGTGTTATATCCACTATACTATCTCTCTGATTCCTGTAAAGAAGGTTTTGGTGTTTTTATATGAAGATTGAGTCCTACAATCTCGAAGCATACATTTGGACACTTTCAATAAGCGTGACCATGACCGTGACCGTGACTGTGACCGATGTTTCCAAGTTAGACCCAGAAGCAGTCAGTTGGATGGTAGGCGGAAAGAAATGGCTAAGCTTGAGACCTTCCTCACGATCTAGAAAAGATACCCCAGATAAGAAAAATCCTAAGACTAGGCCGCCCCATGCTGGCATCCATTCTTTCAATCCATCCTCAGACACAGAGTTAGCTTCTTGCAAAAGGTCTGGGGTGGGGATGGGGGAGAGGGCATGGCTTTAAATAAAATCGTCAAAAATTGGAGAGCAAAGGTACAAAGGATGACTCTTGCTTCCCCCTGCCCACTGCCCGCACCACCACACTCTGTTATGTTGCCACCCAACCCCAAGTTCGGCCTACCTGCAGCCCCTGCTGCATTTTCACAGTGATGCCTGCCCCACTCTCCTAGTTAAGACTGAAAACGGGCTTACTCAATCCTTCAGACAAGACTGAAGACGGGGAAACGCCCTAAGTGCGTGACTTGAGCCCAAAAGGCCACGTTCAAGTTACTCAAAGCTGGATGCCACAGTTACCATCTGAAGACTCTTGACTAACCCCGAATTAACTTGACTAACCTGGACTAAACTCAGGAGACTCTTGACTAACCCGACGGCCAGAGCTCCCCCTAGCGTGGCAGGACTGCAGGCTGTGTGACCGTTTTCAGGGTGAAAAGCCAGGGCGCATCACTGGGGAAACGACTGGCTTTTCAGCACAGGCAGAGCCACCCAAGTCTTGTCCGTATCCCCTCCCTCATTCCCACTGGGCCGATTCTGTCGACTTGGTACCAAGTTTCCCTATGTCGGGACCGAAACACTGCTGGACTCGGCTGCCTGCTTTGTGAGCGCAGCGGAGGACACTGAGCCGAATATAAGAAACCAAACCGCTATCTCCGCTCCAGTCTCTGTGGCGTCTGTGTCAGAGGGAGAGAGTCCCCCCGACGACGCGACCTCTACCGCGGTCGCCGTTGCTAGCAGTGGTACTTTCCAACAGCAGCAGTTCCAACGGTCGATGCTACGGGACGTTCACAGATTTCATTCCCCGAGAGTTGGTAAAAAGGGTTGAACTGTGAGCAGACAAGCGGCCAGACCTCATCCAAGTCAGAGATGCAGGTGATCGCTCAGGTGCCAACGCCCCAGACAGCCCTTCCTCCCCTGCCCCCTCCAGTGAAGACCCTCCAGCTCACCTCTGCTGCCTCCGGGTTCCCGGATCCCACTGCTGTCTTCGGGCTCCCCAGTCAGCCTACTTCTTGGCGGGCTCCCCTGGGTGGGCTTTAACCTAGTCAATGGCCTCCCCTCAACAGCTCCGCCCCCCCACGGCCCGCGGCCGTCCCTCAATTTGCTGCGAGGGCCAATAGCAACAATGGAATAGTCCCGCCCCTCAGATTCCCCCAGCGCCAATCGCGTCCTCTCGAGAACCCCACCTAGTAACCCCGCCCCTCTTGTGCGGCAAAACTGCAGCCAAAGTTTATCCCGGTGCGCGGTTGCTCCTGACGATTCCATCCCAGGCTCCCCCAACACCCATATCCTGCAAGAAGGAACAGCCACTCCAAGGCTGCAATTTACTCGGTCTCTTCAACTCCCACTCCATGCAACCTGTTTATTTTCGATGAACAGCTATTAAAAACAAGAGAGAATAGAGAGAGTAAGCCTCTGGCCTTGCATGCAGCCTACCACCCTCCCTCCCCGGTTGGTTGGTTGGCTTTGTTGTTTTGTTTTTGTTTTAGGTCATGCTCCGCGGTGCTTAGTGTTTACTCCTGGCTCTTTGCTCGGGGATTACTCCGGAAGGTGCTCGAGGGACCATATAATTTGTCGGGGATTGAACCAGGATCAGCCTTGTGCCAGGCTTAATTCTTGAACCTCTGGGCTAGCTCTCCAGTGCCAGAACCAGGTTTGATCTTGAGCACTGCGTGGAGGACCCCCAACACCGCCTCCAGGAGTGTATTGATGCATATTAGGTTTGATACATATTAGATTTCTCACCTAGCTGCTATCACAAGGTTCTATCTTTACGTGATTGGTAAATTTCAGTTGGTTTTGCTGGAGGAGTTTGTGCTTATTTCATGCGTTCTTTTACCCAGCTGAGCCAGAGCCCGCTTGTGCTTGCTCATTCTGTCCTATACTCAATATCCCTCTGTCTCTGTTCCTCCCCAGTACTATGCTCAGGCCCTATTCACACAATGCCAAAGGACCTCCTTTCCCTGGGCACTTTGCCTCTGGGCTTCCACCTCCTGGCTGTCCTCTCAATTACCTCTTTTCATCCATTTTACACTGGAAGCCAGAGCTGCCTCTAAAACACAAGTGTAACCCTACCACCATACCCCAATTTAATGTCCATCCAGCTTCCAATCTCTCGCTTTGCTGTTCTCTTTCTGTCTATCTTGGATTTCCAGAAAAGATCTAAAAACCATGGTGTTGCAGGTGTATGCCAGTGGTGATCTGGCCTTACCTGCTTAGCCTCATTTCTAGTAATTTCACCTTCACTATAGAAGACTTTCTACTTTAGCTAACCTGTACTTTCGGTCTTTTCTCAAAGGAAGACCGTCTCTGACACCTCAGATTCCTACACTCCCCATTCTTACCTATCATTAACTGAGGTAGTGACTCATTAATTGAACTCATATATCCCCAGAACTTTGTGTGTCTAGTACTGGTAGAGACATGCATTTTTATGGTGACTGTAAATAGTTCCATATTAGATGTACTTTTTCAAAAGGACAAACTCTGAAGATGTACCAAAACAGAGAGCCATACATACCAGGAAAAAGAAAGTCTGAGAAGCAAAAGACAAGAACCCCGAGCTCCTAACTCCGTAGATCTGGAATTCGAGTATTTCCACTCAAATTTTGTATGTATTTATGTATTTATTACAGTATTTAATCATTCATTTAATAATTCTATTATTTAATCTTGGGCTGGAGCGATAGCACAGAGGGTAGGGCGCTTGCCTTGCATGCAGCCGACCTGGGCCGACCCCAGTTCGATTCCTCCGCCCCTCTCGGAGAGCCCAGCAAGCTACCGAGAGTATCATGCCCACGCGGCAAAGCCTGGCAAGCTAATCGTGAAGTATTCAATATGCCAAAAACAGTAACAAGTCTTACAATGGAGACGTTACTGGTGCCTGCCCCAGCAAATTGATGAACAACAGTAGGACAGTGCCACAGTGCTATTATTTAATCTTATTAAGTCTACTGGGGATCAAACCCAGGGCCTCAGACATGCAAAGCATGAGCTCAATCAGACTACATCCCCAGTCCCCCCACTCCCCACTTCGAATTTCCAAGTTAAAAAATTCCAACTCACAGGCTTGAATAATTAGAGTTTTCTGTGCAAGCCTAATGAAAGGTTGCTTTAGCAAACTATTTCATTATTCTCAGATAATAATCAGCACAATTAATTGCATAAAGAAACCCATTGTGAATTCCAGCTTATTCCATATAGCAAAGAGTTCAGATAAAAGATTGCAATCTCAGGAAGTCATTTGGAAGGAACACTAACAGGCAAATAGATGCATGCTAGTAATTTATGCAAGTCTAGGGGTGATGCTCTGCCCCTCCCCCATTCATTTACTGAGAGAAGCAGTGAGCTGCAACTAATGAGTGTTTGCTTAATCTAACTAAGAAAACACAGGCTTTATGCCTAATATAAAAGGCATTTAAGATGCCAGGTGAGGAGTGGTGATCTTTAAACTGGTTGTACAAGAAAGCTTATCCCCAAAGGATAAGCCTATTTAATAGTCTGGGGTTTTGTTTTTTTTGGGGGGGGAAGATGAGGGTTGGAGTGATTAAAAACTTGTTCAATCAATTTAATCAAACTTGGAAAATCAGTTTTGCCTGACAGATATCAAATAAACTTTTCAGTAAATGGCTAGAAAGTCAAAAAATACTAACCCACTTCCCTGAGTTCTTACAAGATTTAATTAACTTGAAAGGACTTCCAAAGTTTTATAAAATAGAACTCTAGGAACCAGGAGACCTAGATATAGTCCTCATTGCTTTCAGCAGCTAAGTGACCTAGAGGATGTTTTAAATTTCTTTGAGGTTCAATTTTTCCATCTGTGAAATGAGAAGGAATTCAGATAATTTCTATACTTTGAATCGAACAGTTTAATATTCTAGCACACGTGATTGTGATATCTTTTCTGGTTTTTTTTTTTTGTAGCTTAAAACAGCAATAGTCTACTTTTGGTTTTCCTAAAATTGGATTCTGGGAACTATTTTCTAAAATGCTCTACTGTTCCATAGACGCAGTCCCCTTAACAAACTTACCCTACAAAATTGTCCAAATATTAAAAGAGCAAAATATAATAAAATATAGAACAAAGTAAAAAAAATGAAGCTCAACTTTTGTGTTCATACATAAGCAAATGAAAGCTCTTTCTGAATCATTGCAAATACATACTTTTATCTTTTCATAGTTTTTCCATGGGCTGGAGCGATAGCACAGCGGGTAGAGCGTTTGCCTTGCACATGGTGGACATAGCCAACTCGAGTTAGATTCCTCTGCCCCTCTCTGAGAACCCAGCAAGCTACCAAGAGCATCTCACCCGCACAGCAAAGCCTGGCAAGCTCTCCGTGACGTATTTGATATGCCAAACACAGTAACAAGTCTCACAATGTTACTAGGCCATCTTGAGCAAAACGATGAACAACGGGAGGACAGTGACAGTGAATTTTTCCATGCTTTTCTTTTCCAAGGATTTTATTACTCAGTTCATCTCTAAAATGAATTTGGAGCCCACATTACCAGCTCCAAAGTCTCTATGAGGACATGAGGAGAAATGTTTTGAAAGGGAAGTATTATATGGAGAGAGGAAGAAAAGCAGAATACAAAACTGTCTATACATTATAGGGCTGGAGCGATAGCACAGCAGTAGGGCGTTTGCCTTGCATGCAGCCAACATGGCCGACCCGAGTTCAATTCCTCCACCCCTCTGGGAGAGCCCGGCAAGCTACCGAGAGTATCTCGCCCACACGGCAGAGCCTGGCAAGCTCCCCATGACATATTCGATATGCCAAACACAGTAACAACAAAGTCTCCAATGGAGACGTTACTGGGCCCGCTCGAGCAAATCGATGATCAACGGGAGGGCCTTTACCTTTACCTATACATTATATTCTCAAGTAAACTAAAAGAAGTGCATATATGCATTCAAAACTGATTGGCTCTCTACCAAAAGGTTCACAGGCAGGTCTATAACTGGTGGGACTGAATATTACAGTTCCCTTTCACTTTAGCTTTTTCTTCCTTCACACCTAATAAACCTGTATTATATATTTATAGTAAGAACATAAACATTTACTGGTTGAGGATGGGTCCAGAGGTCAAAAACTTGTCTTGTATATATGAGGCCCAAGGTTAGATCTCTGGCATCACAAAAAAAGAAAAGAGTATGTGCATTTTATTTATATTTTTATAGTAGGAAAATGTACTTATTCTACATAAATCTATGCATGCATGATATTTTTTAAAAATGGAAATGTTTTTCCAATGGTAGGATTTAAAAACAGATTGCCTGATTTTGAATCAAGAAAGACATAATCTTCTGAGACTCAGTTTCCCCTCTACAAGATGGCAAGACAAACAAATTTTCTTTTTTTCTCCTTTCCCAGGCCTTTGTAGTCATCATTCTGCTTTTAAAGTCAATGAATTTGACTAGTTTAGATATATCTTAGGTGGATTCACAAAATATTTGTCTTTTGTGTTGGGCTTATTTCACCTAGCAAACTTCCATGTAGCATGCATGGTATTTCTTTTTTGGGGGGTCACACCCAGCAATGCTCAGGGGTTAGTCCTGGCTCTGCACTCAGGAATTACTCCTGGCAGTGCTTGGGGGATCATATGGGACGCCGGGAATTGAACTTCAGTCGGCTGCATGCAAGGAAAACGCCCTACCCACTGTACTATCACTCCAGCCCAAGCATGGTATTTCTCTTATTTAAAAAAATTTTTTATTAAATCACCAAAAGATAAAAGGCCCTCCCGTTGATCATTGATTTGCTTGAGCAGGCCCAGTAACGTCTCCATTGGAGACTTTGTTGTTACTGTGTTTGGCATATCGAATACGTCACGGGGAGCTTGCCAAGCTCTGCCGTGCGGGCGAGATACTCTCGGTAGCTTGCCGGGCTCTCCGAGAGGGACTTAGGGATCGAACTCAGGTCGGCCATGTTGGCTGCGTGCAAGGCAAACGCCCTACCGCTGTTGCTATCGCACCAAAAGATAACAGTTA